CCCCATTAATTAGGTTTTATTGCATACTCTTAATTAGGTGCATTGGAGAGTGGCATTTTGGATGATGACATTTTTTTTTCATTGTTAAATGAATTGTGTATGCTATATTTTATGGAAATAAAAGTAAATATCACATTAAATTTATCATGTTTATTTATATTTTAAAAATGTCAAATTAGAAACTTCTTTTTTATGAATAAACTTATAACCTTTCGGAAAAAATCTCACTCTGAAAAAATATATTTAATCAATGTTAGTATGCAGCCAAATTATACTCTCAACCAACTTAGGATTATGATGAACCAACTTCGTAACATGTTTGAATTAATAACTTTTTTTTTCCGTTGATTAACATTTAGAGTGTTTTTTTACAAGCCATTGAACTTATTTAACTAAAACAAGTTTGTCAAGACGTTAAATATTTTTTTCCTAATTTGTAATTTATTTTTATAAATAGATTCATAGTATTCTAGACTTATTAAATCTCTTTTACTTTTTTTTTAAATATTAAAAGCAAATTTTCACTGATATAGAATTTAAAATTTATCATCCTAAATTTTAAGAAGATAAAAAATAAATTATAATAAAATAATTTCTTCCTGCTATACCGAATAATTTTATGTTACTTAATCGAGACTTAAAATTATGACAAAATATAATTATGACAAAATATAATTATGACAAAACATATGTTCTAAAGCGAATAATATCTAAAATAAAAAATCCTTTAAACTTTTTATTAAGGATGATTAGTCATTCTTCTTAAACTTAACTGAGAACTTTAGAATAGAATCATAATTAATTGCATTGCATATTATCTTTATATTATGCCATTTTCACTTTTATCTGATTTTACAAAAACCTTTCGTATTAGTTTTAAATTGTAATTGTTTGAGTATTTCACCCTTACTTTATATCTTAAGCGTTTCACCAAATTTTAAGTTTTTCAATTAATTAACTTTGGTAAACTAACTTTTTCCTTATTTTATAAAGCAATTATTAAATAATGGTTAAAATAATTTATTTAAAGAGTCGAAAGTTTCTTCTTTAAAAAATATTCTCTTGAACTTTTTTAATATGAACTTTTAAAAATATATATATTTTTCAAAATATATTATTATATATGTTATGTCTTGTGATGAAATGCATGCAATAATATGATTTGAAATGATATTGGTATGGAAATATTTAATTATATTGTGTTTTTTTATGTGTATATGATGTTTTAGGATAGTTCTTTAGGACTTCTTATGACAATTTTATTATTGTCATAAATGTAAATGATATAAAAAGTCTATATTTTTCATGTCAGTTAAAAACATACTAAGTTTGTTTAGTTTACTACATACATTATCAAAATCTAACAATTTTTATTTTCATAAAAGATTTTTTATGATGATTCTACAAAGAATTACTGTAAAAAGTTTTACTTATTTTGATATATTGGATAATAACTGTCATAATATCTTCAACTTATGTGAACATTAATTTTTTAAATATTATTTTCTATGGTATGTTTGAACTCGTCATAGAAGATATGACTTATTATGATAGTTTAAATCACAATTGTCATACTAAGTTTTTTTTAGTTATTTAATAACCGTAAAAGTAAGTTGTATTTTTTTTGTGTGAAAATATTTCCTTTTAATCGAGTTTGCTCCATTCATAATAACATCATTCACTTGCATAATAATGTACAATTCCTGAAGAAAGTAGTTTATTGATAATTAAATACTCTTATCTAATAAATATTGTAAAAAAGGACTTAAATATAACATTTAGCTTTACATTTAAACAACCTAAAGAATTCTACTATAAAAATAAGTTTGCTTCATCCTAATATCTTTTATATCTGGGTCCTTCAATGGAATGAATAATTGAATAACTATACAAAATATGGACTTAATCATTAAAAAGTGAAATCCACACTTAAAAAATTAAATTGTGTGAGTGAATTTTTTATTACCTCTCTCCGCGAGTGAATAATATTTGTAGATATGATTGTTTGCATGTACTTCTTTACATGATATCCACCCTTTTAGTTTGGTTTATGTTAACACTAAATTAAATATGAATAATTACAATATATTTTATATTATAATTAAATAGTTGTATCACAAATAAGTTACATTAATGTAAATTATTGTATCTTATAAAAGTGTTTTAGATTAGGCTTTTCCCTAACCACAAAGCTCATAGGTGTTATGACAACTGTCTTAGTTGACATTTATTTAAAATGTAATTGCAGTCATTAGTGCCTCTCTTTAGAGTGACTCTAGCAAGGTCAAATAAATCATACTCCTTACCCTATCATGAAGAGTCTAGTTTTGTCTTTCGGTCACATCATTCCTACTAGGTGAACCCGACATACTTTGAGACAATTTTACATTTCTCTAGGTACTTGAAAAAAGACCCTGAACGTTGTTCACATGATTCATCATATCTTCCATAGTATTCACTACCATGATTAGACCTAACATTCTTAATCCTTTTGTTGCGTTAATTCTCAATTTCAACCTTAAATGATTTGAATTTGTCTAGAGATTGAGATTTTTTATGTATGAGATATAAGTATGCATATCTAAACTAATTGTTTATGAATGATATAAAATATTGTTGACCATTCTATGATGGAGTAGGGAATGACTACAAATGTCTATATGTATCAATTTTAAGAAGTCTGTAGCTTTATACACACTTAATCTTGATCTGTTTGTCTTTAATGCATTCAACACAAACATAAAAGTTTGTGAAGTTTACGGAATCCAAGATCTCATTTGACATAAGTTGTTCAATTTTATTTTCAGAGATGTGACATAGACCCTTGTGCCACAATGCTCTTAAATCAGTATTATCAATTTTATGCTTAGTACCACACGATTCCATATTTAAGGATTAACCATAAGAAACCTCTCTATCAAAACATATATAGATTATCATTAGCCAAAAGTGAATCGGTTAAACTAACATTTGAATTTAAAGACAATTTGAATTCATTGTTTCTAAACGATCAAATAACCTAGTTTGTCTAAATAGGAGACTGAAACCAAATTTCATCTAAATGACGACACAAAAAAAGTATCTTTCAAATCCAAATAAAATTGGTGTATAATAATAATAATCTAAAATGTCCTATAACTTCCACCTCCACTGATTTGCTATCTCCAATATCTCCAATATATCCATATTTTAGAATCAATTGACTTCTGGTAGCTTATGAACCAAAATAATTAATAATTAATACGGACTCAAACCTTTTAATTGATTAAGCAATTCCTAATACACCATAGAGGTCATGCGGAAGCGTACGTGGATTAACTATTGTAAACAATGTATATAAAATAATGATATTTGATCTTCCAACTTAGGTACCTTAGGTTCCCTCTTAATTTTTCCTTTTAATGGAGGTGAAGAGAAAGAAACAAGAATAATGTATGTGTTTAGAGATGGGACCATAACCCCATTTATGTAACTTTTATAAGTTTTTTTTTTTAAGTTTTAATATTTTTAATTTGATCCCTCATCAAATTAAAATATTGCTTATAGTCTTTATATAATTAAGTTTTCATATATATATATCCTTAACCATAATTTATCTTGATTAGATCACTTTAATAAATTAATTAAAAATAAACTAATTATAACATATATATATATATATATATAAATATAATATATATATCTATATAATATATATATATATATATAACCTAATGCTAACGTTGTGTCCTCTCTTTGCTTCCAAGTGAGAGTAAGGAGAAAGAAAAAGTCTAGCAAGGGATTAAGATTCGTTCTCAATGACACATTATAAACAAAGATGATAACCTCTATAAAGACTAAACATTTAAGCTTCTCAAAATGCTCAACCACACACATGATGTTGTGTCTGAACAAAAAAAAGCACATGACGGCGTGTCACATGATTTTGATTTTAGTTGCATTTAAGGTTAAGGTGTCTTTTTCGTCCGCGAGTTAATGACTAGTGTTGGTTTAGGGAACTTTCAAGGTTATTTCCTTCTTGTTTGGGACATGGTCAAACCCACAAAGGAATATTAGCTCAACTTTCTCCTAAATTTTCGTAATAAAACTTTAAAATTAACACTCAATTTAATCCTTAAAAGATTGAAATGCTGACATGTAAGTCTTTAAATATATTTTTTTGAATCAAAAGAACCACTGATAAAATTTCAGCTATGCATTTACATTCTTCAGTAAAACTCTTAACAGTAGTTTATACATAAATTATGATATATTATCAATTTTTTTAATAATTTTTTTGACAATAAACTATGTGTCACTATTTTATTGTTTCATATATTTGAAATTGACCAATCACAAACTAAATTGTTGTAAAACAATTGTCAAATAAAGTTGATAAAAAGTATTTTTTTTTTTTGTGTATTTCTATCTCTAAATTATAGTCGAATGAGACTTGAATATATGTAAATAGGTTTTTTTAATAATTCACCATTTTGTATTTAAGTCCTTTTAACCTATGAAGATACAATTCATAATTGATTCTATACAACCTTTTCATGTTAACCAAAGTCGGGGAAGTAACAAGAATATATATATATTTGATAATATAAAGTAGATGTTAATAAGTGGTCAATGACAGATTTAATAAACAAAAAATATTATTAAAGATAAATTTTGAACGAATTTAATATATTTTAAAAAATTAATTTTAAATATTAATATAAAATAAATACGTAAAAAAAAATTTATCCTCACTTATATAATATAATTTATTATATGAAACACGAAACCTTGGATACAAGACCATAACTCCTCCTAACAACCTCTGCCCCATAAGAGGATATTTTCGTTTATAAACCACAACACAGTTGATGTCATCTTCAGTTGTTAGGCTGAAATCAATAACATAAGTAAAAGTACCACTAATTTCAGCGCGGTGATAAGGTAAATGCTAGGACAGCACAACACAAGAATCAAAGTATATATTTGACATGATGAATTATCAACATAGTTTCTGAAATCAATCATACAAATGAAGGAATAATGTATGTAATTAATTATTTTTACTTGCAGAATTCACACTTAATGGAGTCTTCCAAGACCCAGAATCCTGAAGAATAAATGAAACTGAACGGATAAACTAAACCTCAATTGTTTTTTGGTTGATGGCAAGATATCTCCACCTCTCTTTCTCCACAAAGTCAGCATCCAGGAATCTAGCAACAAAAGCCCAAAGCTTATACACATCTTCAAAATTAGCAAGGAAGCCAAGGGCAGCAGTAACCACAGTGATTCCAACCCTGTCTTTCTTCTTGTTGGTTGCTGTCACCACTTTGGTTTGTAGGACTTTTCCCTTCTCTTCTGCATACTTATCTGCAAACCAAATATGACGCAGGAATGCATAACTGATAGAGATGTTGCTTCTATCAGCAAGTTTCTGGACAAGTGCAGGCTCAACCCTTTCACCTTTCCAATCAAATATATTGAATGCCAAAGCTGGCCCTCTGTCAAATTTCACCTTTGGACCATAAATCTTGACCAAAGGAACCCCTTGTGTATTAGGATGCTTAAGCTTCAACATAGAGTTTACCAGCCAGTTGATAAGGTACCTTGACCTGTTAGTGATCAGAATCAATCCCAAAGAATCAACTTGGTCTAAGCACCCACATTGGATGCCACTTTCTTGGACATTACTTTTCTTAAGGGTCTGAACTGGCTCTTGTATCACCTCAATTTCAGAACCTTGAGGAGCTTTTAGATTTGAGTCAGTTGCTTCTCCTTCTTCAACTATTTCAGATTGTTTAGTTTGCATTGGACCCGATAAAGATGACAAAGGAAATGGTTTCTCTTCATGTGGGGATGTTGATGTTGTATTGTGTATAAGTTCTAAGTCAGAGGCAGAAGAATAATCTGATAATTGACGAGGCTGCTTTTCTTGTACAAGGCTGACAATTCCTGCTGAAGGGGAAGATTCCAAGCTGGAAATGGCAGATTTCTTGATGAAAAGGCATCCAAATCCAGAAGGGTTTGCCCCAAAGACCTTGTAGAAAGAGCAAATAAGAAAATCTGGTTGAAATAGAGAGAGGCCGAAGCAGTCCATGTCTTTTGGCCCCAATGCACATGCATCAACCAACACATGCCATCCATTCTCCTGTGCTATGCTCATCCACAGATAAGGATATCTTGCTCCTGTCACTCTTGAACCAAGTGGGAAAACAAAAAGGCCTTTTCTTTTCTTCTTCTTTCTCCTACTCTCAATCATCTTCCTCAACTTTTTTGACTGAATCCTCAGCCTAGGCCATGAGAACTCCGCTGACATGGCCCTGGCACCTCTCTTCTCTGAGGAACTAATCAATGCTTCCGCCGCCTCGCTCTCATAGTCATAAACTGTCAGAAGCCTCCTACTAGTTTGGAATTGGTATGAATCTGCCACAAGTTTGAAAGCTGAGGTTCTGTTTGCTGTGAAAACAATAAAGTAGTCATTTTCTGATATGTTAAGGAAACTCATGATTCTCTTTCTCATTGCACCCTCAAATTCTGAGTCTTGTCCCCCATGAAGCAACAAAGTCTTTAAGCTACCAGTTTTGGAGTGTATCCTAAAGAAAGGAATATCTGAGTAATTAGGTTGAAATTGGGGTGTCTGAGGAACTGAAGAAGAGGGTAATTGGCCTTTTGATGAGTCATGGTGTTGAAGCTGAGAGCAAGAGAAAAGGCCAATGCCAATGTAATCAAGGCAAGTTTGGCTGGAGAGTGACAGGTGGAAATAGTCCTTGGCTCTAACATAGTCAACTTGTTCAGTATCAGAATACTGAGGGAACACTTTGTTGAACTCATTGAATGATTCATGAAGTGATGGAAGAGACTCATGGTTAGTAAATTGAGTGTTTGGGAATATAGATGATGTTGTTGTGACTGCAAAACTGTGGCGCCACTCTGCAGAACTGTTCCTGAGTTTTACTGTTGTGTTGCGTGATGAAATTGTAGAGTTGAAAAACGGGGTTGTGCAGCTGCAACAGCATTGAGGGCACTTTTGTGAGGCCTCATCAAGGGTCTGCATTTTCTTTTGTTTCTGCACTCTGAGACAAGTTTGGTATATATGTATCAGTTTGAAATTTTAACAGCTATTGCCTATTGGATTTGTTGATGCTTTGTGCCATTCGGCATAGGAGAAGAGCACATAAAGACAACAACGGAATCCCTATTCTTTTTGTTTATAATATTTTTGGCTTGGATTTAGCTGGCTGATACGGCAATGTATGATGAAAGTTGAAACTATCGAAAGGGTCATGTAGTTCAATTTGGACTTGGTCTTGCATAGTTTGCTTGCTTTGCCTAGTTGACATGTTAATACTTACTGGCCAATCAATCTGAACCCTTTGAATTGGTCTATTGATGGTAATGTGCATATGATTTTGAAAATTTCCTTTCGAGAAGTACTTAAAAAATTTATATGTTTCTTGTTGCACGTAATTGAAGTGTTTGTTAAGTTGTACTTTGGTGGATTGCCCCTTTCCCTTCCAATACCAATTGTTTCTGTTATTTTGGTGAGTCTGATTTGTCCATTTGTATTAAACTATTGCCAGTGATAACCCTTAACTGTATAAAAACAAGCATTTGACATAAGCAAAGATGAGAGAAAATCAAGCATTTGACATAAGCATTTGATATATAACATGCTTAAAATTTAAAATAAGTCCTGTTTTCGAGAGAGTGATATTAGAAATGAGATCATGATTCGGTCATCAAAGACATAAAAATAACAGATAGGAACCAGAAAAAAAGGAATCATAGTTTTTGGTTTTCAGATAAGAAGTAATGGGTGAGAGATTATTGGTGGTGTTGAAGGATGAGATTTGATCATGGTTTGTTTGTTAGTGTTGTGTGGAGTGAAAGCAAAAAGTGGTCTTTTTTAATTTGCCATTACATTATGTAAGGCTGAGAGGTTCAATTTCAGAGAAAGAGAAGTGAGATATTGTCCTATTAAATAAAGTACTTTTTATTTTATTTCTTTCTGTTGAAGTTCAACACTATTTTTATTTCCTGAATTTTTCTTGTTTTTGTTGTTAGCTCTTAATTTTTATTTATGTTTTTTATCCTGTTGTTTTAATTTGTTAACCAAGAAGTTTCAAAAAATAATCATATGTATTCTTTTTTATAAATTACAATTTTTATTCATCTCACATTCATGATTATATTGGACCACTGAAAAAGAGATTTAAACCATAGCTTTTAAAAACAAAAATGTAAACATTCCGTTGGACTTTATGTTGATGGAACAAATCATGACACTTTTAACATTCTTATTATATACATCAGTTTTAAAATTATTCTAAAAAAATATCAGGCCAAAAACATTGAACAATTTGTTTTAGAATTAAAAATCACTAAACCTAGATATATTTTAAATATGAATTGGATGTTTATAGAATCAAACACAACTATTACGAAAAATTTTATAATTTATTTTTCACATGTGAAAACTTAGAAAATAGTATTTTAAAAGTTACACTGTTTTAAAGATAGTGAAACTCGATTATTTTAATATTAAAGAGTTTTAATATAAATAGTTTTATTATAAACAAGTATTTTAAAATATACAATTTTTTGCTTTTTTAGAGCGATCTGTCTTCTTTTTAGAAATTTTCACTTCTTGTTCATTTATTTAAAGATACGAGACCGTATGAGTGATCCTTGAAATTAAATCTTCAAGTTTATCTTATCAATTTCTCATATAGAGTAAGTTTGTTTCTACTCCTTTCTCTGGTGAGTTTCATTTTCCTTTTGCATGTATGTTTTTCATGGTTGCATGTGATGTTTGAGTTTTCTATAAAACTCTCTAATGATCAGTGGTTCTAATAGTATGTCTTAATCATGTTTTCGTTATTCGTAGGAACAAATATGAGTTCTTGTGCATTTGGTACTACTTTAAGCCTTTTAGAGCAATTTGGTCATCTATAAGGTAAGAAAAGCAAAATATCATTGTACTCAATTTCTTATATAATTTGATTTGTGTGTGCATGTTTGATGGTTTGTGATTGATTGGAATTAGTGTTTCAATTAAGTTATTGTTGAAATCTGTTGTAATTTTTATGATAATGTATGGTTTGGTAATTTCGTATGGTAAATTTGTTGTGGAAAACTTGTTTTATAATCAGGTTTTTATAGCCTGTGTAAAATAAATTTTTTTGTGGTGAATAGGTCTTTTGGCTGCTGTTTCGGTTATAGGACTGAGTCACTAAGTACTTTCACAATTTGTCCTTCTTCGCCGTCCGATCTTGCTCCTTGGGTCTCTTGTTCGCCAATTCGGCTGGGGTGTACCTGTTAAAGATACTCCGATGCCAAAGTCAGTAATTGAACCATCCGGTTATCTAATACGACAATGACAGTAATAAATACACAGTAATTGCCTCCACCTATCTTTTACCTTTGACTTATATTTATAGTTTTTGGCATGGGCTTAGGATTACGATATTTTAATCTCGGCCTAATCCCGGTCCAATATCCTTAAACATGATTTACCTTAATCTTCTTAACATTAATCATTTGGGCTTAGAAAGCCAGTCGTCTCGGCCGGCCACTTTGCCTTCTTTATTGGTCGTCCGATCATATGGAGTTTGTGAGGTGTGACGACCGTCCGGTCATGTGGTACAACTGCTAATTAGATTATTGAACTGATTAGAAAAGGGTTTAGAATTAATAGTTTTGACAAGTGAAATTCTAGGGAATTGTTCTTGAGTGAGTTTGGAGTTGAGTTTAAGTTTGTGTCATTTAAGACTTGGTTAACTTTTTTTTTGTTGAAATATGATATTTAGGTATGCTAAGTTTGTAATTGGGTTGTGGTTAGTGTTGAGTTGATCTCATGGACTGGGTCATTAACCATTTGAGCAAAATGATATCCAAACCAAGGTTTAAATATGCTTTCCAAAGCAATTACAAGCATTCAGAAACTAATTTGTTATTTGGATAAGACTAAAGTACACACAAATCAAGAATTAGAACTGCTAGTTTCAGATGTGGCATTAAGGGGCTCGGAGTAGTGTTGAGCGTCACAAAGTCAAAGAGCCACTGGACTCTACGGCTCTGAGTGTTGCAAAGATAGTGAGCTCTATATGTTCTTAGCGCTAAGCGGAAACTCTAGGCTACTAAGCGTTGTGCTATCTGTTTGGTTGGAACTAAGCGGTAAGAAGTGATGTTGAGCGCCACTTCTCTACTACAGGTTTGGGCTTTTATTTCTATTAATTTATTGGGTGAGTGACTTGCTTGCTAGGCACCAGTCTAGTATTAAGCCTCTGTTTTGAGTTTTCCTTTAAGTTTTTTGTACTTTCAAAAGTTGATTTAGTTTAGAATGTTCCTATTAGTATGAATATTGTATATGTTAATGGTTTAGGAATATGGTGGTGTGTATGATGTTACTTCGAGTATGATATGAGAGTGACAATGAATTCTGGTTGTTGGTATAATATCGATGCTTGGCGTAATTCCATGGACCTCATGGTGAGACTCCATGGTAGTGTTCAGTAGTTATGTGTTTGGCATACTTTTTTGGATCTCATGAGTGGATTCTATGGTAACGTTTAGTAGTGTGATGTAATGATGTAGGGACTCAGTCTTGAAAGTTATCTTAACACTACATTAATCATTTTATCTCAAGTAGAGAAAGGAGGTTATGTGGTGAGGAGTAGCTGAAGGTCCTATTTTATGGTTTGATTTGGCGATAGGTGATAGACAAACTAACCTTATGTGGTAGCTTAGATGAGTAAGATGTCTCACCACTACAAGTACAAAACTTGTCATAATTTGACATCAATACATATATCTGGATGATCAAGTCTAGTATATATAAGTGTATGTGTTAGGATTCATTAATATGGATGTTTACATGTATTAAAACCTATAAATGTTATCAAACTTTTTTTGGTACATTAGCTTACCCTTTCTTCTTTGTTTGTCTTTATGTATGTTTTTTCTTGTTTGCGATGATCGTTTTAATGATGTGAGCATATAAAAGTGTTTTAGTTTGTAGGTGGGAGTAGTGATGAAGCTTAGAAGTAAACAATTCTGTTTTCTGCTTTATTAGTATTAGAAATCAATATTTTGCTTTAGTATTGAGAGTAATAGAATCCATATAAGATCCTAGTCTATGTATATATTTCATTTTATAGTTATGAATAAGATAATTGTAATAACTTTATGTATGTATTCTTTTTTAAAAAAATTGTCCTTATTTGACATCTCTTTTAATAATTATATACTATTAAAATAAAATGTTACAATTAAAAACTTTAATAATTTTTTCATAAAGTTTTTATCTTTTATATTGCTCGATATTTTCAACTAAGGTTGAATTATTATTAATTTGTCTGGATAAAGCTTGCATTATTGAATTATTAAGGTATGGTGTACCACAGGAAAAGATAAAGGTTCAATAGTACAATTATATAGTAAGGCATATTCATGGAGAAGAAGCGAAGACAAGGGATAAATTTAAATGTTCTTGTATAAAGTGTGTGCAATTATTGGAAAAGAAAAAAAATGTTGCATGCTATACAACAAACTATTATTGGATGTGGGGACAAACCAAAATATCGTATTGATTTCCACAACTTAGAGATAATGTTAGAGATAATGTTTGATTAATGAAGTCATGTTTTTTAAGGTTTCAATTATCAATTTTAGAATATTATATTAATCATATTCATAGATTGAAAAAAAAGTAGCTTTTTTTAGATATAGATATACATTTGAGAAAAAGAAAAAAATTTCTCCTCACATATATAAGAAATAAGAAAAAGAGAGAGTAAAGGATATGTAATAAGAAATAGTTTAAAATAATTTAACTAAAAATTTAAACTTCTTACTGTATTATTTCTTTCTTAATATAAAATATTTTTAAATGTTTATAAAATAAAACTAAAAAAATCAACTCCTTTCTTTTTAAGAAAAGTAAAAATTTAATTTATTTTACTTTATTTAATCATATATTTTTTAAAAAACCTTCATTTTAACATCTGAATATAATATATAGCTTTTGTTTTGGAAAAAGCATTTTAAGAAAAAATATTAAGAATCTAAAATTAGGTTGTTGAATGAAATATTATAAGTAGATACCTCTGATTACACGGTAAAAAAGTTATAATGTCATATAAATTTAATTTGTTATCATATTAGT